CTCAGGTGTCACCCTAGAATCAGTCCCCCCCACACACACATACTTCCACATTCAGGGCAAGTTCCCTTGTAAAACAATGTCTCTGTGCCCATTTTCTTTGCTGCTGCCCCTAAATGCAAACTCTTTGCTTTGGGGGATAAATAGGTCTCCTTTCCTCATAGCTGTCTGGATTCCATTTTTATTTTTTCCAGCTCAAATTATTCTTCTGACAGGCTCTATGATCTTTAAATCTGAGTGCCGAAAATCAAAACGGTCTAGATTGTCGGTCCATTCTAGTTGTCGCATGTTTGGGACCAATGGAAGTGTAATCTGTTCCCTTTGTACTCTTTTACAGACTCTTCACACAGGCCCAATGGCTGCCTTTCTGATGCACACTAAAGATAACCCAATGAAAGTCTTAGGAGTCCTTGCTGGCATCATCGGGGTTATGGTGATGATCATCCTTTCGATCTCCACTGTCACGTTCTGGCGGAATAAAAGATCTCCGAAGATCGTACCGGCCCGACGGATCATCAAAAAAAGGCAGAATTATCAACCGCGGACCATCAAGATGGAGTGGTTGAGTTTCAAGAAGTCCTGCAGCAACGTGGCAGAGAAATTCACCGTCAAGGAGGACACCATCAACTTGCAAAATGAGAACAGCAATAATAGCTCCCAGATGCCGTCTCTGCCACCTCCACCGCCATCAGCGCCAATCCCATTGCATGCCCCGGTCTTCAAGATCCAGGAACCCAGCTGGAAATTGTCCACGGTTTCAGGATCTCTCAGCCCTAAATTGGTAAATAAGCAGGCCAGGAAAAAGGGAGTTCTTTCCACACACGACACAGCTCTGGTGTCCGAGCTCAAGCAGAGATTTGAGATAAGGAATTCAGCAATCGGTCAACCTCACATCTAACGCAAAGCAGCGTAGGGCGTACAACTCTGTGTGTTATTCCAAGACCAGGGTGTGAGCTGTTATTTTGCATTTTGTACTGTTTTCCCATTGTCCCGGAAGCTCTAAGCCCTTGTGATCTCTTTATCAATGTTTCACCTGGATCTGATTGGATTGCATGCCATGCCTTATCCTCTTTGCTTTGCCATTGTTTCTCCTTTAAGATTGTGATGGTGTCTCATGCAGTTTTGTTACCTTTTTCAATCCAAATTACTCATTTTTTTTTGTTGTACCCAGAAATATGGGCAGATTCTGGCCAATCTTGTTTAGGGTTTTCCAGCGATGTAAAAAAAAAAAAAATCAGTTTGAAAGATGCATAAAAACTAATTTCATGTTAGGAATTTCCCTGCTTGTCCCCAAAACTTAACAAAATGTAAAAGCTTCAGCTGACTCCTTGCTTGCTACATGACTTCCTCTGAAATTTGATGGGTCCTGAGTCCACTCGCCAGATTGGCCTGCCCCAACTAGATTTGGCCGTGATTTGACCCTATCCATAATTATGTGCACGTCAAGAAATGTACATACATACATCATACATATATTTGTTCTCTTCACACAATTCTCAGAGACTGCTGGAAAAGTCCCCGAAGTTTTCTTGACAAGATTTTTCAGAAGTGATTCACCATTGCCTGCTTCCTAGGGCTGAGAAAAAGTGACTGGCCCAAGGTCACCCATGTGGCTTCATGCCCAAGACCGAACTTCAACTCATGATATCTCTCTCTTCCTCTCTCCCTCCCTCTCCCTCCCTCTCCCTCTCTCTCCCTCTCTCCCTCTCCCTCTCTCTCTCTCCCTCTCCCTCTCCCTCTCTCATCTACCCCATGGTAAAGTGTGAATGATCTACTTTCCCAGCTATTAAGATTCTCAATCGTCCAGGTCACGGTTGTTCCAAAAGTGCTTTTTCCAAAAGCCAACTGGACTTTCTTGGATTAAAGGGATAGGAAGACTCCAGACCATCTGATGTCCAGTAGATATGGAAAGCAACCTCCATTTCAAACCAAGACAGTAATTTCAATGCAAGAAAAGATAACCTACCAAGGATATAGGTCTATAATCCTGGAGAAATTGCAGTATTTCCATAAATGGTGGCTGGTGTTACAGGTTCTACTAAAGTGGACTTAGTAGATGATTTATCTGCCAAACCACCTGAATTTGCCACTCTCTCTCTCTCCCTCCCTCCCTCTCCCTCTCCCTCTGGCTCTCCCTCTCTCCACCCTTACTCCATGGGAAGGAGAGAGACAGGGACTTGTTATGCATGGGTAGAGGTAGTATACTCTGTACATTCGCAGAGATCTCCCCAGTTTTGCTACCACCACAAATTGGCCAATTTTCAGCACAGACTCTGACCTGCACAGAGACCTTAGCCACGTGTTCATAAACAACGTTATTTATTTATTATTTATTAAATTTATATGCCCATCTCCCTGGTAAGGTGACGCTGGGCAACTTACAGATTATTGCCAAAGAAAATTCTGTTTTGGCTGATGTACTCCAAGCATTTCAGTACAGACTCGTTTCTATACATAGTGTTGCTCCAAGCAAGTGACATAAAGTGTTTTCAAAGCCAAATTCTCTGTTTTTGTTTTTATTTTTTAAATTGCTCCTTCCGGCTATATATCAGCAAATGGTATCCACAAGGGAGATTATAGCCCAAACCACTGAACTTCAGTAGTCGTTCCATTTTTCTTTTCTTTTTTTTAAACTTCCTAGCCACAAAAACAGTTTTTATAAAAATCCTAATTGGGGAAGTGATTCAATTTATTTTATTAATTGGGCCTGGAAGATACAAATTTAAACTAAGCAACAAAGATGATTAGGGGACTGGAGGCTAAAACATATAAGGAGCGGTTGCTGGAATTGGGTATGTCTAGTTTAATGAAGAGAAGGACAAGGGGGGACAGGATAGCAGTGTTCCAGTATCTCAGGGGCTGCCCCAAAGAAGAGGGAGTCAAGCTATACTCCAAAGCACCTAAAGGCAGGACAAGAAGCAACGGGTGGAAACTAACCAAAGAGAGAAGCAACCTAGAACTAAGGAGAAACTTTCTGACAGTTAGAACAATTAACCAGTGGAACAACCTGCCTCCAGAAGCGGTGAATGCTCCAACACTGGAAGTTTTTAAGAAGAGACTGGACAGCCATTTGTCCAAAATGGTATAGGGTTTCCTGCCTGAGCAGGGGGTTGGACTCGATGAACTCCAAGGTCCCTTCCAACTTTATTATTATTATTATTATTATTATTATTATTATTATTATTATTATTATTATTATTATCATTATCATTATCATTATCATTATCATTATCATTATCATTATTATTATTTTACAGAAAGGGCTCAAAAACGTCTCTAACTACAAATGGGGCAGTTCTGTAGGGAAAGAATGGGTAGAAATAGTTGAGTTAAAGTGGAGCCTTACATACAGAAGAGCAGAGTTGGAAGAAACCATGGAGGTCTTTATTTATAAATATTTTATTAATTTTCTAATTTTACAATCGTAAGTACTTAATAAGCAACGTGTTGTCTGGGTCTATTAGTAATTCAGTGGTACATATTAACTTTCTCAGTCTAGTGTCCAATACTACACCATCCAGTGCTTCCTTGGTCCTCTCCTGGTAATATGCATTTTTCCACACTGGGCAAATACAATTCTTGTTACTGTTAATACATATACAATTAAATATAGACATGTTCATCCCATTTTTCTGGTATCATATGCAATATCGATAGTATCCATTTATAATATCTTTTCTAGCCAAAATATATCTCAGTTGCATTTGCACTTAACATCACAATGTCTATGTGTTGATTCTTTTCAACGTAAGTGGGTGAAAAGTTTCAGATTTAATTCAAGGTGGCATTTGATACAGAGGCAGCAACTCTGCCTGGAGGTCAGGTATATATATAGAAATGTACGAAAGAATTGTGTACAAAGGTATTTTGGGGAGAGACCCAGAAGAATTACAAAGAAATTGCTTCTATAGTCTCCAAAAAAAAAAAGCATCCTATTTTTAGACATGCTTCCGACATCTGCTCTCTTGCTGATGTTTGGATGGCTTTGATCCGTTTTCCCTTTTGTATTTCCATGGTTTGATTGTAACTGAACTTGGATAATTATTATTCAGAAAAACAATGAATGGAGCTTAGAAATAATAAGCATGTTCGGCCACCTTTTCATTTGGGTTTCTATTGTAACTCAATAGAAATGTACTCCTCTGTTGCAGATTTTTCCTAGGTTGGGCCAAAAAGCTGGTTTTCTGTGTAGAAAGATTTATGCCCCCACAATGGCTTAACGTGGACATAAAGCAAAGGATCTGTTCCCTCCAATTATTTATTTTTTACTTATGCGTGGAGCAAAATGATTATGAATTGGGTGGCCAAACCTTTGCAGAACTTTCCACTACCCAAACTTTTTATTTTTCTTATAAACAGTTGTTAAATTTGGAATGTTATGTCTCCTCCTCTTCTCCTTCTCCTTCTCTCCTGCCTCTTCTCCTCCTCCTCCTCCTCCTTCTTCTCCTTCTCCTTCTCTTTCTTCTCACTTTCTCCTACTTCTTCTCCTGCTTCTCCTCCTCCTCCTCTTCTCCTTCTCCTCTTTCTTCTACTTCTCCTCCTTCTCTTTCTTCTCCTTCTCCTCCTCTTTCTTCTACTTCTCCTCTTTCTTCTCCTCCTCCTCACTTTCTCCTACTTCTTCTCCTCCTGCTTCTCCTCCTCCTCCTCTTTCTCCTCCTCCTCCTCTTTCTTCTCCTTCTCCTCCTCTTTCTTCTACTTCTCCTCCTGCTGCTGCTCTCTTCGTCCTCCTTCTTCTCCTCCTGCTTCTCCTCCTCCTCTCCTTCCTTCTCCTCTTTCTCCTCCTCCTCTTTCTTCTCCTTCTCTTCCTCCTTCTCCTTTTTTCTCCTCCTTCTCCTCCTCCTCCTCCTCCTTCTGTTCCTCCATCTCCTTTTCCTGCTGCTTCATGATTGAGGAGGCATACAAGTTAAATAGATCAATCAGTCAATCTCATTATCTATCTACTGATTCATCTGGATGGAATGCTTCTGTTCCTCCTCCTAGTGGGGGCACGGGCAGATACATAGCTAATAGAGATCAGCACTGCTTTGACCCTCAGCTGTCTGCTTCTTTGCTTTCTCCTTCTCCTTGCTTTCCTTCCTCTCCATCTGGTCATCGCTGGAGTCTCGGCGGCACAGTCCCTCTTCACTGCCTCCTGGCAAACTATCAAATTTGCTTTTCGTATGAGCGCTTTGGATGTTCGTGCCCCTTTTCTTGATACAGCAGCTGGCCCATTTCTCTTTGCAGTTGCAGCTGGCCTCCGAGGTGCACAGGTACATCCCGGCAGGGACCACCAACACCATGGCACATATAACCACGATGATATGGATCATCTCCCCCCTCTGTTCCAGTTCACTGACGTCACTTCCTGTCACAAACACAATGCACTGGCTCTTTGGGGGCACCTGCTTCCTCAGACTTACGCACACTTCGTACTTGGTAGCTGGGAGCAAATCATTAATGGCGTACGTATTGATCCCGGGCCCAATATAAACGGTGTCTTTCTTAGCATCGTCGTATTTGCCAAAATGGAGGGTATGCCATCTTTCTTTCGGATTTTCAGTCAAGGTGTGCCATTCCAGAGTAATCCCGTAGACTGTCTGCTTGGCAATCTGTACATCAATGTAGGCCGCCTCGTCTACGATGGAGGAAGAATAAGAGGACGTCGCCAGTTCAGGAGCTAGAATATCCAGCGCTGTGGTAGCCGAGGCGTTGCCAAGGAAGTTGGCAGCCGTACATGTATAATTCCCCTCATCCATAAGATGGGCCGAAGGAATCACCAGTTCTGATTCGAAAGACTCTTCGCTCACGTGAGTATTAGAAACTAGAGAAAGAAAGAAAGAAAGAAAGAAAGAAAGAAAGACAGAAAGAGAACAGGAACAAGCAACTTAATTTCTACGTTCAACTATAACAACCCTACGGAATGTGTGACACCCATCTTCAAAACTGGCTGGGGCAAATGGACCCAGACAACACATTGTTTACTAAGCACGTATGACTTGTAATAATAGAAAATTTAAAAAATTGTGTTTGTTTTTTTTAAAAAAATTGGACTTGGGAAAAGGATCATCTTGGAGATATTTGAGGGGTCCTTGGTGCTCTCTGAGCTTGGCTGTTTTCTTGCAGACATTTCATTACCCAAACTAGGTAACATCATCAGTGTTAGATGAAGATGTTTATTTTCCAGGTACAGTAGTGGCCAAAATTGTGGAAACCTTTTGGAAAAAGTGTACAGTAGAAATGCTACCATTGGTTAAGTTTCCACCAATTTTTCTTCTAATTTCTTTATAACTGTAGCCTTGTTCACTTAATAATACTATTTTACATCGCTTTCTGGGCAACCAGTCAACTCTTTGCACCATGACTTTAATTTTATTATATTTTACAAGCTCACTAAATGAAAGAACACAAAAGAACCCAACCAATTTAATAGCGATCACATAACACACTGACAAACGTCCTCCTCTCAGCTTCAATACAGGACATCAATAACTGAATCCTACTGTGATCTGATTGGCTCATGGCCAAAACAAGGTGACACCTGATTGGCTCTCTAAATACTCATGCTCATTGGCTACAATCAGATGAAGGAAAGCTACCTGAGATCAACCTAAGCAAGTTGTGCTTCCTTTTTCTGGTTATTTGGCTATAACTTTTCACAGAATACAGTGCAGATAATTGAACAAACCATGTTGCATTACATTCTTGATTAAATTAACTTTCCATTGATATATAATTTTATGGTATTATTCCAACAAAAAAGTTGTGTTATTAGCCATCAAACCTCAAAAATACACTTTTCCCAAAAGGTTTCCACAATTTTGGCCACTACTGTATATTAGAGTTGTACAACGTAACTACCTGACTGTAAAAAAATAATAATCCATTTTTGAAAGTCACATTGCTTGATAGAGAGAGGGCTGGCATACAAATTTAATAAATAAATAAATGAACTATAAACAAAGGAAAGGGGGGAAAAAAAACCCTCAGACATAGCACTTTCAGAGATTGGTGCGCCTTGCTTGAGATCTTTTTGTGACAAATGAAGATTTCTTGATTTGTTTGGTGCTAACATCTCTACGCTGCTCTTTTCCAACCGAATCTGATTGGTGTACTTCATCGACAAGGATTAAAAAGAACAGAAAAAGCTACATCAATTATAACAGAGTTGCGCTATGAGGGAGATGGGCAGTTTCTAAATATTATATATAAATGTTAAAAAAATGATGCTGCCAATCAAAAGCAGACACCCCCATGTTTTATAGGTGGCACCTCCCTCCCACAAGATTAGCACGAATGAACAAGAGGAAATCCTCGATATGCTGGAAGTGTGAAGAGACCGTTGGGAATTACTACCACATGTGGTGGCAATGCCCAAAGGCACAAAAATTTTGGAACTTATTAAAGGAGTGGTTGGAAGAAATTTTGCAAATAGATATAGAAGCCAAACTGGAATTTTTCTTATTGGGAATTATAGAAAGAAAATATAAGAAAGACACAAATTATTTACTACTGCATATAGTAACAGAGGCACGAATAGCCTTCGT